CAAATGTTCAATCATTATGGTTGTGTTGGAAGTTGTGTGAAGATAAAAACCACAAAATATATTAATTTAAGATATAAGCAGAGATGTAATCATTTAGAAGTTGCAGTTTCCCTTTTCTATTCCTAACTTTATGCAGTTAAATATTCTTCCTACATATATATGAGAACTCAGAGTGAGTATGCTTACTTAATGCTGCTTCTGTCTAAAAATGCAATTTTAGATTTTTAGAAAAAGTTTTGGTGGAGCAGTAAAATTCCCCAATGTTGGTCTACAGTTCTCTGATTATTTTTCAGGTTTTTTTTCTTGAATACACATGGGTGATTATCTTATCTCTAACATGCTACTTCCTATAATTCTGTTAAAAGCAGAGCAAGAGATACTAGTGCCAGGAAAAAGGTCTGTCTCAAAACCCTGTGAGGGAGGTAAACTTTAATATGGCTTAGAAAATGTAGTCAAGAAGTCTATTTATGAAAGATCTTAAATAGTAGCCTGTAGGCAGAAGTGTTTTGAAATCAGGACAACTAAATTAATCAGAGGTATTAATGCACAGGCTGTTCTCAGGTACTGCATTAGGGGATGTACCGCTTGAAAATAAGCGGAATGTGGGGTTTTTTCTTCTTTTCCCTCTATGCCTCAATGAAATGTTGAAGCAGCTGTTGCTGTTGCATCCTATCTCACAGGAGTGAGAGCCTCTCTAACCCAGACCAGGCAGCAAGGTTCCAGTCACTGCATCTGTCTGGGATTCCTTTAGAGGAAAAAGCCTCAAACTACTCAATCCAAATTACAGTGCTTATTAACCAATGGCTGTCTTTCACAATAGATGTTTGTGCTAGCAGGAAAAATCTCAAATTAATATACACAAGTAGATTTTCTTAAATATATCTTTTACTGGATGATACTTTTAATGAAACTCAAAATACCAGCGCTAGTTTTGAGAGGATATTTTTCATGTGCTTTGTGCAGTAGAGCTGACTGCTAAAGCTATAATTTACTCTTGCACTTAAGCCTGCTGTGACACTGACAAGTGAATGACTCAAGCAACAATACCAAGAAGTAAGAAAAACAACGCTCAAGACCGAAGGTTGACAAATGTCCCCACTTTTTCTCCCAAGAGCCTTTCACAACAGTGGAAAATGAACCTGAGTGCTTCTTGCCCAGTACAGATGAAAGCAATCAGGGATCAATTAATAAATGGTACTATTTTCCACAGCTGTGAGACTGTGATTACAAAAGGGATCGAAACATAGATCCACTTTGAAAGACCACCTTACGAGCTTGACAGGGTCACAAAACCACCAAGGAAGTAATTTATTATTGCTATTCATTAAAGAAAGGTTATGGTCATCTTTCTAATTACTTTTCTTACTTAGGACTGCTAACTTTTTCACAGATTGCTTGTCCCTTGTACTGACCTCTGCATAAAATCAATTCATATTTGCATTTTTTTGTGCTCATTATGGTGAAATATAACACAGATTGAAAATAAAACATGTCTTTCTCTGTAAGAGCAGGCAAGCACTGAAAACACTGATGACAAAGGTTAGGATTTTCTCTTTTTTGTTTCATTGATTCTGTTACATATTATTGCAAAATTCATATATTATGAGTATGCTTACCGTGAAGTTGCTATAGGAAGTTTCAGAAAAAAATGAAGTTACATAATATGCAAATCATTCCAAGAACTAACATATTAGTTAGTTTTTTAGTTTTTTTTAGTTCATGTATTAGTTTTTTTCTTAATTTTTTAGTTACTAAGGATCACCAAAAAATTATTAAAAGTCAAACACCTTTATCTTTTTTTTCTTGATGTTGAACTGTCCAGCTATCCAAAGCTCTTTATCTAAATGTAAAAAACTAATCAACATAATGAAATTTGGAGCTAAATCTGATCATGTATTTTGATGAAAGACAACTGTTTGCATAGCATTTTTTTTCACAGAATTAAGATTAGAGTCCAGTTTCTTATTTGAATACTAACTTTTGTCCAAACCCGATCTATTCTCATAAGGCACAAAGTCATGCATTTAGCCCTGTTTCTAGCTCTATTATCGTTAAATTCTCAAAGAGAGCTGTCAGCTTTGTCAGGAGCCGAGACACTTAGGAATCGTATTCTAAAAAAACAGTACTGGCTGTAGTGCCTTTTAATAATAACAGAAACATTTTATGTTTCTGATAAAACATCATCCTGAATAGTTATCCATATATTCCAAGGAGAAAAGCTGTTAAATTCTAAATTGTTCAAGGTTATTATTGTCTATGTTTTTCAAGGGATTATATTTAACCAATGATCTGAAAATACTGTTGGAGAAAAATCTCCTCATTGCATTTTTGCTCTCTGTGTCTGTTTTAAATATGCATATAGAGTAATCATTTGAAATAGGGCAACTAAGCAATTACATAATTAAGAAAATGTAAAGGAAGAGAAAATTCACAGTAATTTGGAGGGAGAATAGGCAGTATCTTTATTTTGAGACCAAGAATGAGAAATAAAACCAGACATACTTTTACAGTGTGCTTCTGCATGACTGTAGGGATTTGAAAGCAGTAACCACTGGACGCATATTTGCAAACATTGTAAAGAGGTACTTGATTTAGCAGTAAAGAATACGATATACATCCTGGGCTATATTATCAGAGGCACACCTGGTAAACTGAGGAGCCTAGTTATCTCCATTCATTCAGCATTTATTCATTCTATACATCTAGAGTAGTGCATCCAGTTTTGATCTTTCAGTACATGAAAGACATGACAATACTGGACCAAGTGCAATGTAGGCCCACTACAGTTGTAGCTTGGTGTAGTTTCCCTATAAGAAGATCATGAGAGAGCTGATCTTTTTCATCCTGGAGCAAGGGCAGCTTTAGGTACAAGCAAACAGCAGCTCCCCTCCATGGGTAGGCAACAGAGAAGATGGAGCCAGGCCCTGCACAGTGGCACAAGATGAGACAACAGAGACAAAGGAAATGAATTGAACAAAAGGGAGTTCTCACTGCTTGTAAGGATAAACCTTCTCCCCACAAGGACTCTCAGTCCATAACACAGGCTGACCAGAGTTATTGTGCATTCTCTCTCTGTGCTTGGGAGTAAAAAAGTCCCTGATCAACCATGTCTGACCACATATTCTGTGGTGGTCTTGCTTTCAGTAAGAGTTTGAGCTGAGGATCTCTTAGGGTCCCTTCCAACCTGAATTAGTCTTTTAACCTCTGAAATAACAGCAGACACTTAAAGTGGCTCTAAGAACGTTATTGTATTTCATTTCTTGTTTCATGCACAATTTAATTCTCTTACTAAGTTTATCATTTTGACAAATCAGTGAATTCAGCTATTCCAAAGAGACTTGATTCTTCTCTTAGCTATACTGGTGATGAATATGCAGCAACTTGGCTGAATGCAACACTTGAGATACATTATTTTAGAGTGTGGAAGCTTAACAGACTTTAGGTAGTGGCCATCTGAGATAAGAGTAGACTGTAATCTTAAGACTGTAGCATTGACTATGACTGAAGGGATTCGTGCTATGTAAACAGAAAGTCAGGAGAACTTTGGCTTTTCATTCACTGTAAATTATTATTGAAAGCTGATGGGTGAAGTGTGGATCTTTCTCTTGGTACTTTTTTTTTCCATGAGGAGAACAGCAAACACAGCTGATAAAATGTTTTTGGCAGTATGTTAAAATTGCCACAGCTCTAATGATTTGTATTCATAGTATAGTCTTAAACTACCAGTAGCTATAATTCATCATATTTCTAATTTTACAGAGGCACAGATGGCTGTCCACTCTAGTGGTCCCAACATTACTGAGTTAAACATGGAATAGCATGATTGATTAAAAGTTGTAATCAGACATTACTTCTTGTAATTGTGATTAATATGAGTTTACTGTTTCTGACAATAATTACTTTTATTCTTTCTTTTTAACAGAGAGAATAGAAAGTAAGTAGATTACAGGCTTTAAAAAAATCAAGACTTTAGGGCCAAAAGAGCAATTAGTTTTAATTGCAAAAAGAGAAAACTGCAGTTCATACTTTACTTTTTGGATGGTTTAGGGATTCCTGTTATTCTTTTGATAAGGTGGATTTTTTTTTTTTCAAGATAAGCCATTATTCCCTGTGGGGAAAGACAGGTAATAATTAACTTATATATTTTTCTCTATATAATTTTAGGGGTTTTTTTCATGCTTACCCTTTCAGTAATGATTAGTAACATGATTTATTTTTTTTTTTTTTAGGAATGTTGGGCAATTCCTTGAAAGTAAAAAAAATAAATTAGAGAAAATAAAAACCAACACAAACCATTAACTGAGGCAGTGGAAAACTAAGGGGCTGATTTCTATTAATGTATTATGTATTCATCAGAAACACAATTAATGGGTTAATTTGGCTTTGGGTCAGGCCATTCCTTCCTTCACACAGGATTCTCATAGTCAAATCAGGCCTATATTGTGATAAAATCCTTGACTTGCATATGGCTCTCTTTTCTTTGGAAGTGCTTGTGAAATTTACACTTAAATTGATACTATGTCTCTACAACTTAGTTTGCTTAAGGACTGGGTTTACACAACAAGGTTTTGATAGCAGGTGAGCTGTGGGAGTGGCTTCTGTAAGAAGATGCCACAAGATGCTCCCCTGTCAGACACAAACAATTCCATGCAGCTCCAAATCCAGCTAGACAAAGCTCACCCAAGAGTGACAGTGGTGGTGCCTCTGTGTAAACACATTTAAGAAAAAGTAGGAGCACTGTAGAGCAGCTGTGAGTTAAGGAGTGAAAAAATAAGTGAGAAAGAGCCCTGTAGACACACAGGTCAATAAAGAGTGAAGAAGGAGGGAGAGGAGGCGCTCCAGGCACCAGAGGAGATTCTCCTGCAGCCCATTGTGTAGCAGAGGTCCACATGCAGCCTTTGAAGGATATCTCTGAAGCAAAAGGCTATGTGCTGAGGGAGGCTGCAGACCATGGAAATCCCTTGCAAGAGCAGATTCCTGGAGGGAACAGTAGCCATGCAGCGGAACCCACGCACGAACAGGTTCTCTGGCAGGAGCTGTGACCCTGTGAGGAAACCCACTCTGGAGCAGGCTGTAGCCAGAAGGAATGTATTCTCCAGAAAGAATCCATGCTGGAACTGTGGGAGCCACCCCATTCTGCAACAGGATAAAAACACCAGAAGGAATGATATGGTAGGATACCATTTGTTCATTTTTATATGTTCAGTAAAACATCTTCATTCCCTATCTTTCTTTCTGAAACAAGATCTAGTCTTTCAACAAACTGAGGGATGCAGGCAGTGAAAACAAAAGAAGGAAGCTAAACATAGCTTTTGGGCAAAGAGTTCAGCGAGAAGTGTTGCTGCTTCTCAGCATCTCTTGTACTGCCTTTGGCAGACAGATCTTATGAAGCCCAAGGCAGAATTAGAGCTACTTTCCTCAAGTAGAATAATTAGAGCAGGCCTCTTGGTCTTGTTACCACTGTGTTTCCAAAGGTAAAGCAAGCAAGTATGGTTCTCTCCTTGCCTACTAGTTAAATTTTCTCTTATTTTACTCATAGTAATAAATCCTTCCTATTTTACTCTCCCCACATGTCCCTCTTATTTCAATCTTCATGTATCTAAGATTTTTTTTTCTTTTTATATCCACTGTACTGCTGCCCATATAATGCTTTTGTTTCCTTGATGTGGCTGCCTTTGATTAAGCAACCAATTTCATAACAAAAATAACAAATATTTCTAAGGAAGCATTTGTAGAATTTATATTTATAGAATTTAACAGAAATTTTCTTTCCAGTTTGTTAAAAAAATTCCCAACTATTTTCTTCTTTACTTTCTGTTTAACAAGATACACAGCATATTATCTTAAGTTCTAATTTCAAATGGATGATACTTTCTAAGGCCAGTGATTCTACTAAATTCATTGCAGCAGAAAGATGGATGGTAAGATGTCACGTGTAGAGGAAGGTTGGTTGTTAAGACTTCAGTGGCTGTGTGCAACTTTTCCCAAAAGATGATGGGTCCTGTACAATACAGCTGGTATGTGCTGTATCACAGTGTTGAAACCTGCTATCATGAGAGATAGCTAATTGGCTATTTGATTAATAGCTCTCCACCAGACTCCATCTGTAGTGAGATTTAGCCTACTGTTCTCAAAGCTAGTTGAGGCATACTTCACCACAACCCAGCTGAACAGCTACATGGAGCAAAATCATTACACAGTGAAAAAACAGTTATGATTGAGCAAAAGGTGTCAAGTGTACTCAGCGACTCTCAGAGAGTCATAGTTCTTTGCCACTGACTTGAAAGTCTTTTCACAATGGTGCAGTGACTAGTTTCTCCTTTAAATAAAGCATTTTCTTTTTCTTGCATTGTAAAGAGAAAATCAAGAAAATATCTATAACAAGCAAAAATCCTCTCCAAAACCACTGTACCAGAAAAGTTTATAATAGGAATGAGAATGTGCCTCTAGATTAGCCAAAATGAATGTGAGAAGGGCAGTAATATGGAGACAGCTGCAACCCCAGAAGCAATGCAATAAAAAAGTTCCCTGTGGCCCTAACCCCTTTTTTACATAACCAGAGACAAGTATAGTTGAGCAGGCAGTTATCTATGCATTGCAGTATCCAGGCTTTGGTAAGTGTTGTAACAAGCTGGCATAGGATGTTAGTTAAAACTAAACCCAGGACCTAACAGTCTCTTATTAGAGCCACTAAACAAATGGGGGGGAATTCAGTGAGCTAGATCTACAAGTACTATATTCTACATATATCCCTTTTGTCATGATGATTTTGGTTTTTTGTTTGCAATACCTATGTTAACTTGGGAAAAATGACAACAAAATAAAAAGTAATAGCCTATAAAACACTATTGTCAGGAAAGGAAGCTGCAAAGAGAAACTATAAAGATTATTAATTATTTTAGGTTTTTTTTTTTTTTTTTTTTTTTTTTTTTTTTGTGTGTGAGATCAGTGTCTAACAGGTTGGTGAATGGGAGTTAATATAAAAATGGTATTTGTATTAACTCTTTTAGATAGTAAAGAGAAGTGTATCAACAACTTGTCAATTGCTTCCCAAGGAAGCATAAGCAGTACCCAGAAAAGTGCACCTACAACTCAAGTTTTAAAGGATTGAATCCTAACAACTAACTTTATATATTTATTAGCTATCCTTTTGAATTCTATAGCTCTCTAACACTAACGGCAACAAAATACTAACTGGATTTCATACTGTTTCTTTGCAGTTGGCCAAATTGCTGAAGACTTTCAAAGACACATGAATACTGAGAAAATATTTAGAGAAAGACGGTGCAGTGGTCCTACAGAACAAGTCCTGGATAGACAGTCTAAAGAGGGGCAGTAGAAAAGCTGGTCCAGGTGTACTCAGCTTTAAAGTTCAACCTTTAAGATCTACCCCACCCATTCAAGTCACAGCAATACTGCTTTTTCCCACCTAATAGAGAACAGCTCTTGGTACAATGTCATACACTTTAAATAGACGTAGGGAATATATTCCTTCTTAAATATATAAGCTCCTTTGCCAACAGATTCAACTTCCAGCAGCAGTAACATGGGGAAAAAAAGCAGAACATCCAACTGGACCTGCAATAATTCTCCATCTGACACTAAATTGCTCTATGAATCAGGCTGCAGATGAAACTTTGTACATTTTAGACCTTTAAAGATAATTACCTGATTCTCCCAGTGGTTAGGGTATTGTGAGTATTTAACAAGGTTGTTGCAACTGTAGAAAATAGCTCATCTCTAATTCCTTAATCCCTATTTCCACTAGAAGAAATTTTAGTCTACTAGTTTAAATTTACAGTTTAACATAAACTGTAATTTCATCTTTTTTTTTAGAAGGCATTCTCTCTCTATATATACAGATATATATATGTGACTACTAACCAAACAAACTAACAGGAAGCATTCCATGTGTGCATGATTTACAGTACTTGTGATTTTTTCTATATTAAAAACCCTTCTCCATGTCCCCTTCTCTTATATTGATAAAAGAGAGAGTACAGCCTAACACACTGTCAGCACAACTATTTTCAGCATAATTTTTCTGCTTATTGTATATGGACAATGGGAGGATGTACACAGAAAAGGAGATACCACAGCTGTTTTGTCTTTTTTCAATTAAATACCCAATGTTTCAGTATTTTTTCATTCTGTTTTTTTATGAAAAATTAGATGTTTTTCCATATATATGAAAGAACATCTTGCAAAACTCAAAACCTCAGTAAAAAGAAATAAAGTTGTTGTATTCTTCATGCTTTTGAGGCTATATATTAAGTTGAAAGTCTTATTGAAAGAACTCCCAGCAAACCAGACAGAATTATTTGCTTCTAGAACACATTTTGAATTCCGTTAAAAATCTATATTTTTTTTTGCCTCATGTATTTTTATACTGAGAATGAAAGTAAATGATTTACTGGCAAATGAAGTTTGATTCTGTAAGCCTTTCTAATTTTCAAAGAAGGATTAGATTTATATTAGAAAAAGGAGGAATGGGCTACATAATTGTAGAAGAAATTAGTATGGGGTTTTTTGTATTTGTTAGGGTGACACTGTCTTTAGTAAGATCTCTTAAATAATATATACATAGAAAATCACTATTTTTTGAAGTATGTATAAGAACAGAAGATGTGACTTAGAGACATTGGAATGAAAATCAGACCTAAGCAGGATTTACCATGGATATTTTCACTAGTCTAAATTAATATTATAACCATCACTAACATCGGGGATTTTACAACAATGCCTGTGTTAGCCAGCTGAATTTTCCAAGGACACTGAAAAGTGTTTCAACATTAAGAGAACACATTTGATAAAGACCTAATCTTCAGCGTAGAACATTGAAACATTGGAAAATATAAAGGAACACTGACATACAAAAGAAAATAAGGGAGGAATTACAACATAAGTAATAACATAAGAAGATACCCTGTCACTTCTTTGGTTGAAAGGGGGTAACAGATTTGTGAATTTTTATTATGATTAATTTAGTATAGCCTTGTATCCACTGCAATCTTATGTTTGCTATCATTGTACTCACATAGTGCACAGAGTAGGGGCATAAAAATCACGTACATGCATGTAAGCCACTGGAAAATAACCACAATATTAAAGATGAAATGAAAGGGTGTCTTATACGCCTTGCAGACTAGTGTCTCCAAAGAAATCAAATTTGTTAAGGGTTTTCTCATACAGCTCTCAGATGGCAGCCATGCCGTTTACAGTCTTTTTTCCCAAAAACCCCTGCAGTGTCATTCAGATGGAGTTCACTGCCTAAGAATTTCTCAGTAACTAGGAGTACTCATATTATTATGTCCAGACTTTTTTGACTTATTTACCAATGTCTTGAACAAAAGAGCAGATGCCTCTGCAGTGTACTTACTGAGGATACAAACCTGGGAGGTGTGATGGATACTCCAGAGTGCTGTGCAGCCCTTCAGAAGGATCTTGGCAATTTGGATGCACTGAGAAGAATTTCCTGAAATTCAAGAAAGGCAAATGCAGGCTCCTGCACCTGGGGAGGAACAACCCCACACCCCAGTACAGGCTGGGGGATGGCCTGCCAGAAAGTGGCTGTGCAGAGAAGGACCTGTCGATTCTGGTGGATACAAACTGTCCAGGAGCCAGAAGCGTGTGCTTGTGGCCAAGAAGGCCAACATTATCCTGGGGTATATTAGGAAGAGCATTGCCAATAAACTGAGGGATTTGGTCCTACTCCTCTATTCAGCCCTGACAAGGTTACACCTGGAGCATCATGTCCAGTTCTGGGCTTTCCAGTACAGGAGACATATGCAGCTCCAGTGGAAGGGTGCAAAGATGATTAGGGGATAGGAACATCACTTGTTTGAGTATAGACTTAGGGAGCTGGACCTGTTTAAATTTGAGAAGACATGACTGAGATGGGATCTTATCAATGCTCACATATATCTGAAGGAAGGCTGCCAAGAGGATGGACCAGGCTCTGCTCAGTCATGCCAAGCAATGAGACAAGAGGCAACAGGCAGAAATTGATGAACAGGAAGTTCCACCTGAACATGAGGAAGAAGTTTTTAATTGTGCAAGTGACTGTGCACTGGAACAGGTTGTTCAAAGTGGTTGTGGAGCCTCCCTCACGGGGGATATTCAAGAACCATCTGGACACAACCCTGTGCAATATGGTGTGGGATGACCCTGCTTGAGCAGAAAGGTTGGACCAGATGACCCATGATGGTCTCTTCCTATTCTGTGATTAACATGCCAACCAACCAAGATGCTCAAATCATAATGATTTACAGTGATTTTTAACTTTATTTATCTTCTTTCTTTCTTTATCATTGTCATTTTGCAGTTAAAACACTGGAGAAAAAGGAAAAAAATGGTGAAATGAGAATCAGTAACAACAAAACACTTCAAGTAAAAGCCTGAAGGGCTGATGAACTACACAATGGTGATAAAAAAATATTATCACTTTTATATAAATATGTCTGTCCACTGATAATCTTAACTGGCCTCAATTTCCTGGAGATCTTAAAGAATGTGAGAAATATCCACACACAAAAAAAATTGTAATCTTTAAAAAAATACATGTTTAACATTAATTCTGAGTGGTAGGCATCACATAATATAACCCTGAGACCAGAAAAGACCTAACCTTTAAGCTTGTGGTGTTTTGAAACAAAAGAGAGAAAACAAAAATAATAAAACTTGCAGCTTGATGTCAATTGAGCTGAATTCAAATATTTCATCTTACTAGTGTTTTGCAGATCAGAAAGTTAATACGAATTTAAAGCAGTGTGTAAAGAGTAATGAGAATTTATGATGTGTGTGGCTTAATAATTTGAATGAAAAATAGATATGTGTTTATTTATCTAAGGGCAAATTAACTCAGTGACCTTTTTTCACTTATAATTCAACCTATATTTAAGCCACAATTTTATATCATTTTATGTCTAGTAAACTTACCTGATATCACTAAAGTTACCCAACAAGATTTAAGTTGAGATGTCACATGATTTACATCAGTCATAATAATGACCATCATGATCACAAGACACTCCCTAAAATCTGTGTTGTCCTTCTGACAAAGCAGTTTGCTGTATTCATTGATTCAGATGAACTCCTATTTGATTACACAGTTCTTGAAAGTATCTTAAAACTTCACCTGTGTTTTTCTGTATTAAAAAGAATTTTAAAATTATGTTTTTATTCTTTGAAAGGTGAGGCACTGATATATTTTGTTGAAAAAACTGATGCTGAGAATACATAAAGGCTATGAAAGTAAAAACATCTTTCAAGAGAGGTTGTTTTCAGGTTTCTGGCCCCTTAGAATAATTGGTTATTACAATGTTTTTGTGTCAATTAGATTTTGAACTCTTTCTTGTATTCAACTCTTGGGAAACATTTTTCATCAGTTTCTCAAGGACAACCTGGCATTGAAGCATGAGATACAAAATTTTTATTTCTTTTCTTTGGATTTAGATATCAGTTTCCTGATAATATTTTCACTTACAGAAAAAAAGGTTGCAGATAATACATATTTTTAGTACTGAGAACTCTGCCAAGATGTTACAATTACATTGATTCTCCAACTACTTTGTTTTCATACACTCAAAACAACATTTCATATGATTCATTAGGATTTTTTCTTCCTGAATTCCTTCTTAACTCTTCCAAATTCAGAGTGAACTTTTTTTGAAAGACTGGGGACTATTTGTTTTATTATGTTACATTTTTCCTATGTTCAGTAAAAGATCTTCACAAAGTAAAAATCTCGCTGAGAAATCAGAAATAACATAGAAACAAAAGCAGATAAAAATGAATATATTCAAATGGCTCTAGTAGAACTTGGCAGCACCTCGTGAAAATGCAGTGTAACAAGAAATAAATATTTTTTCCACCTTTTCCTCTGCTCAGCTGCCAATCAAAATTACAGCCCAGTTAAAGTGATGTCCACCATTAAAAGTTGTACTATATCTGCGTGGAAAGCTGCTAGCTTTCTTCATAACAGCCCATCTGGTGCTGCATTTTGGATTTATAGCTAAACCACTGTTGATAACATAAGTGCTTCAGTTGTTACTGAATAGTGCTTGCACAGCATCAAGGTATTTTTTTCCCTGTGGTCTCCCAGAATTAGGCTGCAGGTGGGTCAGAAATTGAGGGGCACTGCCAAGACAGATGACTAAAATCAGCTAAAAGGATATTCCATATCATGTAACATGATCAGCATCAAAACCTTAGTTATAGAATGAAGTGGAGGGGACTTTGTTGTCCAAGGTGTTTACTGCTCAGTCACCATCTCAGCTGGCAAAGGCTGTGATGGCCTTTGCATCCCTTGCATCCCCAACCTTTCACTTACTTCGCTGTCTTTATATCAGACCACAAGGACTTGGGGGTATTAATTGTTTATGTGTTGGATGCCTTTTTTTTTTGGTTGGTTTTTGCAGGTGAGGCTATTTCTGATTACGATTAAGATGAAAATATTCGCAATAATATCTATTATGGTCATAAAAAGAGCTAGTACCACTGCTACCATTTTTCCATGAAATTCAGGTTCCAGGAATGCTAACAGAAACATGCTTCTGCTTCAAGCATAACAAAATTAGACATAAGTGATAACATTCCTGCAATGAAAATGTTTCAAAGTAGCATTTCTAGCAATCAAATCCTCATACTGCTGTCAACAGATATTTTTCAGGCTGCTATTTGCAACAGATATTTTGCCTCATACCTTATATGTTAAAGTAAACCCATATTTTTAGACTTCATTTTTCTGGTAGTAGGAGAGAAAATGTATTTCTAGGTAACATTGTATTGGTAGGTACTTAAGATAAAAAAGGGAAAAAAAAAAAACCAAACAAAAAACCAAAACTCCTGATGAGAGAAAAAAAGGTGTCTATCTCAAGTAAAATGTTTATGAATTTCTGCAAAAGGACATGAAAATTAAACAGCAGTCTGATGTGTAGCAATGATATTCTCCTTTTAGATGTTCTTAGTCACCCACTGAGCAGTCACTCATTGAAACTATTGAGATTTAAGTGTATATCTAAGTGGATAACTGAAGTACTTATTATCTACATTCCTGATTTAATATTTCAAAAATTACATCACTATATATTACTGTATCTTGCAATAAAACAAGACATTGGAACAATAGTTATGAGAGATATCCACTATAGATGGAATATTATGTCAATTTTAGATGATATTACATTATTATAGTCTAAATTAAAGGCCATGTCTTATGCAATCATAGAGATGCCTATCAACACTACAGCTATAATTTATTACTGGCTCTTGGGGCAAGGAGAGCTGGGAACATGAAATGTTTAAGAAAAAAATTCCTGATTTAACACATTTTTCTGGCCTCTAAGTTTGTTTATTCTTTTCTGGGACATATTAATGAGTACTAGAGGACCTGTGGAGTATTAGAGGAGATGAAGATCCCTTCAGTCATGGGTCTGGCAGTATTTACCCGAAATACAGCACCTCTGCCTTTCTAGGCTTATAACAGAGCTTCAGAGATACATATTGTGTTAGAGCTTTTATGAGCTGTTTTCTGTAGGGGTAAAAATGACATGCAGATGCCACCAGCACATGAAAAAAAATTTAATGAAAACTACAAAGCTGAGTCCCATGCAGTAAACCCAGCAAATCTTATAGCATGTTAATATCAGAGAAGGAGCTAAATTAGTTTACCTGCCTAAGATGTTCCATGTAGAGCAGCTATCTAGAGTCCAACTCAGTAACATAATGGGTGAACTGACTAATTAGTAAAAAAGACAGAGCAAGAAGAGTAAAAACACTGCACCATTACCTGGTAATTTCTGCAGGTCAAAGACATGATTCACACTGCTTCCTGTAAAAGCGCCAAAATCAAACAATTATCAAAATGTGCTATACAACTATTTCTATTCAACAAATTAATTTATGTGACTTTGAAAGTCAGTAATCTAATATTTCATCACCCTCAGAGAGGCCACTATTACTTAGGACAGCTCATTTTACAGTAAGACTTTTCAGTAAGACAGTTCCCTTTTCAGTAAGACAGTTCACTTTTCACTTTTAAGTGAACAGTAGTTTTATTATTTTTAATTGCACTGATTTAATGAAATATGGTTTTGCTTGTGAACCTTAAATTTAAGGAAAAAATTGGTAATCTTCACACAAGAAACTATTAATGGAATGACTAGCAAAACATCAAGAACTCTCCTCTGACATTGCTACTTCTTTTACAACAAAGCTTAAAAGGCTAATGTATGCAAATATCAGTAGTTTTTTAAAAGTAGATTTATATTATAGATACTTCCAAACTCTAAGTATAAATATTTAGCAAAATTCTGATTAAACTTTTAGGGTTTATCTACAGTCTGCCCTTCCAAAGGCAGTTTAATCTCTCCATCTTCACATTGTAAAATAGTAGAATTCTTTTATACAGCTGAAAAAAACCCAACTTCTATATTTTCTATTGATTATTTTTTAAAATTAAAATCCATATTTTTAAAGAACAGAACCCAAAGCATAAAAAGATTACTCATAACAATTTTTTCAGCCCTTAGATTTTATAAAACACAAACCAGGCCACTAGGGCAATAGGCCAGGTCTTAGAAATCCTGGATGAAACAGAAAAAAACATGGAAAATATTTTCAGTTCTGATTTTTTTTTCAGCTTTTATTAGTGTTCTTTAGTTTCTCAGTCACTGCAGAGCCCCAAACCTATCTTTTTTTTCCTTACTCTTCTCCTTGGTTCAGACAGACAGGAGGCAAAGGATCATATGCAAAGCATGAAAACGTGTAGCAAGAGAATAAGTTCCCAATACTTCTGCATCTTTTGGATTCTCCTAAGTTAGTAATTAGGAAATGCTTATGAAAGGATAACCCTACACTCAGTGGAAGTTAGACATCAACTTCAAGAAAGAGTGCATTTTGCTCTTCACTAATTTCATAACCATCAGTATCAAAATTGGCAGCAAAGCTTTGCTGTCCCACACTGAAACAATATAATTATAACTTTTCTGTTATAAAAACGAGCAAAGAGCAAAGGTAAAAAGAAACAAAAGGATTTCTTCATGTTCATGTGTTAGAAAGCACACCTGAAAGCTGCAAAACTGAAATCCAGTTCTTTGAGGTAGAGTGTGGGGCTCCTACTCTCTTCCATCTCAAGTTGCGTATGGGAACCCAGTGGTGTCAGTCACCTATTCTACAGCATTATTGCTCTAAGATCTCAAAAAAGACCCCCACAAACCCATAAAAACAATCGCCTAAGTTCCGTCCCAAAAAAAGCCAAAGCAAAAACTAAAGCAAAACCACCATAACCAAAAACCTAAGATATTAAAACCCTTTAAACCCTCAGAGTTACCAAGGTTATTTTATGCTATGATAAGACCAAATCAGGAATTCAAGTATTCTAGCTTTTCTAGTATATACAGAAGTAAACCAGGGACCCTCCCCCAGGCAAATAGCTATTTTTCCTGCTTCACAATACCTAGAAACATTTTTAGCACATTCCTTTGGTATCACTCATATGACTCATATAAATTTAGGCATTTTAGCTTTCATTTTACTTTCAAGAATGTCTGTTGACAAATAACTAAGAAGCAGTTCAAACTCTGCATGCTTTTTGCTTCATCATCTCAACTTGGCTGAAATAAACAGTATGCATGAAATACTTTCATTACAGAAATGCTTCTTGCAGGGAAACAGCAGAAGACAGGGCTCAGTCCTGGCATGTTTCTATAGCACTTTACAAACATAGCTTTCACTCCTACTACTAGAGACCTAATCTCAGGCATTCAGCCTTCCATTTTGCTAAACACACCTCTTATTTACTTAAGTTACAGCAGTTAATTATGGTATATAACTAAAAGTCACTATAAGGAAAAAAAAATAAGACGAAGTCTGTGAGAGACCACTTAGCACTTGGACATCTATCCTCTCAGGGAACAGCAAGGACCAGCTTCTCCCTGAGGGCTGTAAAGCCAAGGGGGATATCATGGTCAGGAGGGACAGAAGCCAGAGCCTCAACTCACAGCACCCAACCACGACAACACCTGAGATGGGGACTCAAAGGTCGTAGGACAGTAGAGCAGTGATGAGACAAGACTGAGGCCAGTCTATAGGTCACAGTCAGGATCATGAGCATTTGACCTACCAGGCAGAACCAAGGTCAAGCCAGCCACAGGTCAAACTCCAGTCCCAGGGTTCCTGTAGCTAGGCACAGTTAAGCAAGACAGAGCACCACAGCTTAAGGAGCAAGAAAATGCCCAGGGCAGAGCTTAAATACAACCCCCTGGCCAATGGCTGTGGGTGAAGGCCTCAGGTGAGGCTGGCTGGGGTTATTAAGGCTGACTAATGCACTCACCACTCTGACAAATTGACTGTCTGTCCTTCTAAATGATTTCCAATATGGACTCCTGTAGCATCTGACTACTTGAAAAGCATATTGTTAGAGCTTTTTCCAAGATTTCAGACTTTTTTTTTTTTTTTCCCTGCAGACTAGAGTTTGCATTCTGGATTTTTTATACATTGTTAATTTCTGATATTTTCTGACTGGCCTACCTTAGTCCTGCTTTGGGTTTTTTCTTTGTTTGTTGTTGTTTTTGGTTGTTATTTTTGTTGTTGTTGTTTTTTGTTGTTGTTGTTGTTTTTGGTTGTTATTTTTGTTGTTGTTGTTTTTTGTTGTTGTTGTTGTTTTTGGTTGTTATTTTTGTTGTTGTTGTTTTTTGTTGTTGTTGTTGTTTTTGGTTGTTATTTTTGTTGTTGTTGTTTTTTGTTGTTGTTGTTGTTTTTGGTTGTTATTTTTGTTGTTGTTGTTTTTTGTTGTTGTTGTTGTTTTTGGTTGTTATTTTTGTTGTTGTTGTTTTTTGTTGTTGTTGTTGTTTTTGGTTGTTTTTTTTTTTTTTTGGTTTGTTTTTTTGTTTTGGGGTTTTTTTTTGTTTTGTTTTTTGGTGGGTTTGTTTGTTTGTTTTTTTGGGGGGGAAGAGTGTTTTATATATATTGTGAGTTTGTTTTTGTTGTTTTTTAGAATACATAGAATTCACTTGATAACCCATTCTTTTTTTCACTTCTTTTCACTGTAAATTGAAAAACCCTGGTTCAGTCAAGCCTGATACACCAGGCTGGTTCTATGACACTGCTAAAAGGCTTCAGGGATTAACATCAGTTTTGGAGACATACTTACAGGCTATGCAATGGCCACAACAGTCCCAGGATAAAAAAAGGTCCTTTCTGTGGATCTATGAATGTAGTGAAACCAAAGAACAGCAAGGCTAAAGGGAATATTATTTTCCTGAGCAGTCAAAACCCCACAGGATACACAGAATCAGAGAGAAAACTGACAGTAACTTTTAGATTTCTGGCAACTGCTGTGAGCCAAACAGCTGCTGCTGACAAACCAGGGAATGCAGTATCTCCCTTCTGCCCTAGTATCCCATATCTCAGCTGTAAGGTACAGCTGCACAGTTACTTCCAGGTGGAAATGAATGTGCTCTGGATGTATTCTAACCCTGAAGGATGGGATAATTTCCAAACCAGAAGACATGTTGCCAATTTAGCCTGATCTTGAGCTATTAAGCCTTGCTGACAAGCTGCACATAAAACACAAGTAGATGCCCCAAGGGAAAGGTTTGAATTTTTTCTGCCTTCCTGCAGAGTATTGCATGGATTTACGCCTCATTCCCAGTTCTTCATATCAACCTTGCCTGCATCTGTGTGTTGATAGGACAGCTGCATTCAGTGTTTTAAGGATGTTTAAACATTCCTCAAGTGGATTAATGCCCAGTGTCACATACAGAGACTCTTGATTCATAATATATATCAAGAAGGTAAAATGTCTTACTCCATTACTTGCTTCCAGAATGAATTTGTATATTTATCTTCAGGAATGGATTAAAAATTCCTCCATGCACACGTATTTTCTGTTCTTTCCTAACATTAAGCTGTTGAATACCAGAAGCTATTCAAGTTTTTAAGAGGAAAGAGGAAAAAAATATTTAAAAGTAGATATTTCAAGGTAAACAAACTCAAAATGATCTCTCAGGTAATGGTAAAGAAATGTGAGACGTGTTCTAAAGGATAAAATTGCTGTGAAGCACTTGAATCAACAAAGTGAGTGTTTATAAAATGTTTAACTGCTTTTGTAATTTAAGGTACATTATTTACTTCTATAAAATAAACTTTATGAGCAGCAAATTCATTGTGCAAGAATAGTGCTGCCTATGCTGATAAATTTATTGTTATAATATTTGGTGGCATTCCTAAAGGCATCCATGTGGATGGATTTTAACATTATTACATTTCAAGAGACTCAGTTTTTAATTTCAAAATAGCAAAAATATTTTTATTGGTCTTGAGTTTTAGAGAAAACAATGTCTATATGCTACATATTCAAAACTCAGAAAACAAATACTAAATATTTAATAGAGAGAGCTTAAGAATTAATAAATTCACGGGTATTTTAATCCATTTGACTCTTTTTACAAAATGTTGTTTCAATTTCTGAGCAGCTGAGATTATCACTTATGCATAGTTTTGTAACTTCTCTGTTTTGCCATAAGGTATTTGTAACACAGAGAGCTGAAACAAAGGCTTCATGTAATAATGTCATCTTTGGGTTCATTTTTGTGGTGTATCCTTAGAGGTTTTTCACTCATGTTTCAAAATGTGTTTGCAAGAAAGCATCACTGCAGTCAGAGCCATGTCAGGAGCTCAAACTTTAATAAGAAAACTTCTGAAAAAGTGGTTTTTATCAGGAAAATCATGCCAGCTTGATTCAATTCAGCAAACCTCCAGTCTACATCATGTCTTGTTTCTGTCTTCTAAATGAAAATGTCTGCTAAGTGGTAGTCATTTCATTTTTGCAAGGAGAGAAAAAATAATGTCACAACATTTTAAAATGCTTTCCTAATAATCATAATGTTAAATACTTTAGCAAAGATTAAACAGTTAAAAGGAAATGAAGACAAGAATAGGTACAGAAGTCTAACACTGTGTGAGACCACTTCTTTGCTGATATCATGAACATTTCAGAGACATCTAAAATTACACACTGTGGGAAAAAAAAGAGGGACACTAACACTATAGGAGTATACTGGTTTTGATCTGTTTCTTAAATGTCATCTAAGCCCTGAGAGGAACCTAAGCTATACTTCTCTCATTGAACTCTCAGCAGGGACAGTGCTGCGTCAGGAAAGTTGAGATGTCCTCTCCTTTAGGCTTGGAAGGTTTGAGCTGATAGATCTCTCCTCTTAGGTCTGGCCTTGACTTTCATTCTCCTTTTGGAAGAAAGTAAAATGAGTAATGCAGGGAACATAAAGGAGAAATTACTCTATTTCCCATTCCTAAAACTGTTAACATTTTTAATCAAATGGCCACTGAATTACTCCATCTCCATGGCAGGTGCAGAAGAACAAGCCCTCATACTTGCTTCTCAGACTGTAAGAATCAGAAATCCAGAGAGTTTTCAAATCCTATTGTTCCTGGTAGGCTTTAGAAAATTTATAATTTTGGACTGTGCAACAGTATAGCCTCTGAGATTCCTGTTCATGTCAAAAAGATTTACTTAGTATGTACTAGTTTCCTAGAAAGCATATTTATTTAGGGAAAACTTTGAAACAGTTTTCTGAGATTCTAATTCATAAGCTTGAAAAGTTTGAAAATACTGAATGTCAGCTTCTGAAAATCAATAATTTCCTTCAGGTTCCTGAGTCTAGTCCCTTTTCTTTTTCCTTCCCCAAAGGCAGATACCAAAATAACTTTCAGAACTTAGGACTGAATGATGGGAGGCAACAAGACTTCGTCACCCAATGTACGCCTGTGCCTTGAGGACACACATCTATATATTCCCGTGTCTGAAAACTTTTAGGATACAAAACACAGGATTTTGATTCAACATTGGAGGTTGTGTTAGAGGAATTAACTCTGAACAGAGGCAGAAAACAGATCACTGTGGGGTGTTGCCATCTTCAGATGCTGAAGAAATTTTGCCAGATTTCATCTACCAGCCTGGCAGCTCCTAAATCACAGAGACATTTTTGAAAATGTTACCTACACTCTGTTGTGACTAATGATAGCTGAGACTCTAGAGAGCAATTTGGAGGTCATTCTCTGCCTGCCACCTGTATTTCATCAGTCCTCTCATGGGGCACGCTCCATGCTTTGGGAAATAGTTACGAATTTGTTGTGTTTGTAGTTGCTTTGAAGATGAAAACCACTGTAGATTAACAAGCTTTAGGTTTCAATTACTCTGATTATACTTCACAAAATGTAATTTATTTATTTATTTATTTCAGAAGTACCATAGATCTTATTGATATTCTGATTTTGACCCAGCTGAAAAAAAGGAAGGATAAACATTTCCAGTTTTTTTCCATTTAGTCATTACTCCTTTCCCGCTATCTTCTATGTGGGTTGAAAAAAAAGAAAGGTAAAATGTGTTACTCTCAATATAAAATTTGTCTTGACCACTATCTAACTTAAACTGCCACAAACATATAATTTGTAATATCTTGTATTAGAAAAATGAGTTGTTTTGGCACAATTCAAAGCACTAAAACTTTTCAGCCTTTTTGCATTAAAAATCTCCTTATTCCTAAAGGCAAATATTCTCGCAGTCACATTTGCCCTCTGTAAAATCTTAACAAGCTATGATCCCACCCTGCACTACACCTGCAGATCATCTTCCAAATAAATTTCTTTTCAAATTCTGTTCTCTTCTCTCTTCTCTCTTTTAACAGTTTTGAATTCCAGAAAGGAAGGCTCCTTTCACCTCTGACTAAGAAGAAGTGTACGTTAATAACTACAGCAATTTGCTGCAAATAAACAAGGAGACCAATTTCTGATTTCCTCTGTAAGGCCTGGTCATAATGAGTGTACAATGCATGGAAGGAGACAGCTGAATGGCAGGAACAACTCCCTCTGCATCTCAGGAAACAGGAGCATGTTCAGTCTGTTTGGAATCTGAGTGGATTTTGGCTGCTAACACCTGCTGAAAGTGTACCATAGTGATTTGAGGTGGCAGCTGTCCAACAGGAACTCTGAGCTAAGATGCATCTGTAGTCTACTGTAGCCATGCTAAAAGGTTTCCAAACACATAAGCTAAGAGCCATGTCTAGTCTTTCTGGTGCAGATAACTTTTCTACGCAAACATGACATATCTAAATTGAAAACTCAAGTATATGTTATAATAAGTCTATTACATCAGAATAGATGACTTTCAATTGCAAATCATGTGAAAACC